TCTGGGGTCTCACACCACTCCTGCGTGCGGCGTCTCCGCGGTTCCTCCCCCAGGGTCGTCCGCGCTGCTTCGAGGAGAGCATTGGTAAAGTCCGTCGCGAATTTCGCGACGGTGATNTCCAGGTGGGCATAAATGCCCGTTTCGACTGCTGTAGCCACTCCCTTACGCGCTGCTTTGAGAACCCTCCACGTCGCTGAGTTCCACTTGCTCCTCATCGCCCGGTGCGCTTCCCGCCGTTTGGTAAGGGCCTGCTCCAGCGCTGCTCGCGTCTCTGGGGTCTCACACCACTCCTGCGTGCGGCGTCTCCGCGGTTCCTCCCCCAGGGTCGTCCGCGCTGCGTCGAGGAGAGCATTGGTAAAGTCGGTCGCCAATTCCGCGGCGGTGGTTGTTCGCTCGTCCAGTCGTGTGTCGAGGTTGAGGAGGAACCGATTTGTCACCGCACACCGTGCTGCTTCGAACTGCGATTCCCGTCGGTTGAATTGCTTCTGTTTCGGTTTAGTCCGGACTGCACGGTTGTGGGCAAGCCTGCCACCGAGGTTGACGGTGACTACTACCATATCGTGGTCTGAGTCTGCTTTGACTGGGCGAACCGGCTGGAGGTGACAACCCCGTCAGATACTCGGCCGTGATATGTCTGCCTTGTCGGGATGTAGTCAAGGCGCTTGCAATCGTTTCCCGACACACCGTTGTATGTGTGCCATATTCCGCCCTTGCGTGTCTCAAAGAAGTGTTCGTGAGGGTTAGCCTGTTAACGTTGCGAAATCCAACAGTAGCATGCCATTGTCGTTGAGCTTATCACACCCGTACATTCCTAATACCCTTCCGTCCCCTCCGTCCAACCTATCTCCCGTCCGCACGTTGGCGTCCAGTAGGACACACACACATTGTTTGGAAGGGATCCTCCGCACGAGACTGTCAAGTTTTCCCCAGAACACGCGCTTGCTGTCGGCGGTTGAAGGTTCGGTTGGAGCATACGCGGCTACGAATCGTAGTCTATATACATACCGCATTCGCGGGTCGATCTTCAAAGCTCGATTACGCCACGATCAAGAGGATGGATACATCAAACAGAGCGGTTTCAGAAAGCAAGAGGATGGAAACATCAAACAGAACGGTTTCAGCAAGCTTTCAACGAGACGGGTCCAACGCTGCCGTATTTGAGATGCTTCCAATGTCGCCATTTTCGGCACCGCATGCCCCTCTTTTTGCTGTGAAGTACAGTGGGGGCTACGGTTTAAGAGAGGGGTGTGCATCACCCAGAAGACCTCTCTGAAACACGACCTTCTCTTAATACGGTTAAAAGAGAGGTTTCCTCTTAATCCGTACGTTCGGTTTAAGAGAAAACCTCTGTTAAACCGATTATATGTCTTTGAACAGGGTCTAACATGATGGAAGTGATGAAAAGTATTTTTTTTTTGTTTTCCACAATATTTTCGTGCGTTATTGGGCCCTCACCAAGCGTGATCCCTCCTTCTTGTTGCGTACGAAGCACAACCGATGTAACTATTACGTGGTCTGCAAGGTGTACTCCGACCTCATCTCGACAAACAGCAGTGCATACCATAGCATAGCTGTCAACAGAACACAGAGACGTGAGCATCACACACACAAAACACTCAAGACCAGTGACTCAAGCACCTACAGCAGTACAAGTAGTACACCCTAAATTTACCCTGAAAAAAAAAAAAGACGTCTATGAACATCGCCTGTGGGCAGCTTCTGCAACTTTACATCAAGTCTGCCATGCATGTTTGCTTCGTTTTCTTTGACCCAGCCTCGCTCATCCAGGCTAACTTCGCCTTGCGAAGATGGAGCTACCCCGGCCATGCTGCACCTCTCTGCTTTTTCTTCGAGGTCTCCGAACTGCCTAGATACGTCAGCGTACGGTGACGGACGAGGAGAGACCAGGGACTGTGTACACTGTCCCTTGTCTACCGCCGAAGAGTCGGCCTCGTCGTCGTCCGAGTCTATGTTCAGTTGGTTCATGTTCAGGTGGGCAAGCGACTCCTCACAAAGATCATCCTTCAGATCTGCAATGATCGCCTCCGCTACACCCTCTTTTTTCTCTACACGCAACCATGTCTGCACGGCTTCCATGGAAGCCCGGGTTGGCGTTGCGCCAGGTGCCAACCCCAGACCCTTAAGCGCCTCGCCAAGGTCTTCATCGACAGTTGTCTTCTTCGCCTCAAGAGAAAGACGCTGCACCAAGTCCATCAACTCCTCGAGACTCTCCTTCTTGTTGCGGATATTCTTTCCCACGTCCTGGTCGAGGTCCGCGTGCACCGCAGGAGGAAGGATGTCATATTTCCTCCAGCACCTTGGAAACGATGAATAGTCAAAGTACGCGGGAAGGAGAGAGAAAGGTGCACGGCGAGAAAAGAAAAAAACAGAACGAGCCGAACCAAAAAAAAAGACTTGATCATTTTTTCAGTTCAAACAAAACTTGCAAGATGATGCAGCAGGATGTTAGGCTGCGCTCCTTCCGCGAGCCCCATGCAGCCCCGAATGACCTTGCGTTCCTTCGCCTGCTCCCGCAGCTGCGCCGCCGACGTCATAGTGTCGACGCGAATCCCCAGCAGCTTCGTTCTGCACCGCACTTTCCAGGCTGCGATGATCCCGGCATCCATGGGCTGGTGCTTGCTCGTGCAGTTGTGTGGCAGCTCAAGAATCTTCACCTGCTCCTTGGGGTCTACGAGGTCGGCATGGCTGCTGTGGTTGTCCATGATAAGAAGAACCTTCTCGCTGGTGACGGAGCGCACGTGTGGCAGGAACACTTGCGACCATCACAGCTTGAACACTCGCACGTCCGACCACGCGTTCTTTTGGCTGAAGTACTTGATGGGTGAGCCCCGGATCTTGAAGCACCGGGGCTCCTTGGCTATGCCGATAAAAGACAGCGGCACCTTACGCCCGCTGGCGCTCGTAGCCATGTAGGCTGAAAGGTGAACTCCGCGGGGTGTAGCAAGCACGTTCTGGACGTTACTTTGGGGCACTGGGTAGTCGGCCGTGTTAGGCCGAGAGAGAGAGGTTGAGAGAGAGTTGGAGAGAGAGTGGGAGAAGGAAACTTGATTGGAGAGAGACGGTGGTGGTGGTGAAGAGAGAGGGAAGAAGAGGAAGTACTCAGCACGCACGCAAGCCTTCCTCATCATCGCACCGACCACGCCCAAAGGGTCCCCGTGACTGCGTCGGTGGTACCCTTCAACACACGAAATTCCCAACATGTGTCCCCCTGGGATCCTCACGACCAGATACTGCTGCGAATTTATCTAACATCCCCCCTGCTCGCAACAGTTTCTCACTGAAAACTTCGCTAACACCCGACATCTCAACCAAAAGACGTCTTCTCAATAATATATGCCATGAAGAATCGACCAGAATATTATAAGAGAGAAAAACGATCCAAAGAAACATGAATGCTGCATCGCGCGTAACAAATACTTGGCGCGGGAAATGAAGCAAAACGGGAAACAGAACAAGACCAAAACACAATCCATCAGAAAAACAATAAAGAGTTCATGCCAAATTCATCACAAAATCACGGTGAGACTCGAAAGCATCCTTCGACAAACTCTTCGTAAGAAAGTCTGCACGCTGGTACGGCGACGGCACGTGGATGACCGAAATTTCCTTCCTCTCTACCAGTTCCCTGAGAAAATGGTGCCTTACATCTGTGTGCTTCGAGTTCGAGTTTGAGATGGGGTTCTGCGCTAGTTGAATCGCCCCCTGGTTGTCCTCGAAGATGGGGATGCACGGCATGCCGACCTGCGGCAACATGAAACGCCAAATCTGCCTCAAAAACAAAATCTTCTTCACTACGTCACCTAGCGCGACGTACTCTGCTTCGGTGGT